TGTTTCGTTTAGTCGGCTCAGTTTTATGCACTAGATTGTTGAAAACTAATTTGACAACTGAATGATCACATTTATGACACAACGGGGATTCACCGTCAGCTAGGTGCAACATGTTTAACCGATCCACAATCACAAGGTCTAAGCATGCTCCGGATACTGGACGCGTAGGCTTTGTGACTATTTGATAGAGATTCAAAGCATCTACGAGATCAGCTAACTTTTCTCCTTCAATAGTTGAAGGTGGTACGTTACTTTCCCCTATTACCCAATTTTGATAGTGAGCATTATAATCTCCCAAAAAAAGCATTCTGTCGAAGCTCATATTCTTAGTAATAGAAGTGATTGTGTCTTTCAAAATGCTAATCGTTCTTTCGATTTTGATCACTGATGAGAGAATATTTGCAAGTACCCATGTACTTGACGTAAAAACATGCCACTGCAATCGGAGATACTAAGGTCCAACAAAGTGGATGCTATGTTCTTGGAATACGAAAAAGCAAGTTTGCCTGAAGATTGGCTTCTGACTTCTCAGATATTTAGAAAACATTAAGTTATCTAGGAGTCATTGCATGAGTTGATAGCCCAAAGTGTTTCCTACAGAACGGGTACCAGACGAGATCCTGCGTTCCCGTGGTTCATGGGTGGTATGCGATTCCTTTGAATCCACCAACACTGGTAGCGGGTTACTTCCGGTGATATTGAAATCGCATGAAACATACGTATTCAACCACGCTGAATCTGGCAGCAATGCTCGCTTTCGGAAAATAATTCCAAAACAGGAGTTTATACTGCGAGTCGCACCATTGAAAAGACTATATTCGAAAACTATAAAAGACATGTTTATTTCGTACCACTTCTACAGCATGTCCACGAGCCTAGTCAAAACTACCCACGGTGCGTATTGCTTTTATAACCCTTCACCTACTTCAATCATTGCCTTCATAAACAGAACTACTCGATAGAGTTCAGGTGCTTTGCTCTTTATTTTCATGTTTGTTTCATTATCTTCTCCAGCTAGTATTAAGCCACTTTCAGCTTGATAATTTGTATAAAATCGCATTAAATCCAATTTCGGTACAAAATATGATGGTATACTACCCTTGAGTGCATAAACAGCAACTACTTCAAGTATGTGTATTGTTACATTAATTATTAATAGTAAACAGTCATTACAATCTGTTGGAATGATTGCCGCATCCGTATGTGAATGATTTAGATCAAACAAGAAATCCGAATGGTGTTTTTTCCTTTTCTTCTTTTGTTCAATTAGATAATCCGAAATAACGGCGTAGAAGGCATTTTTTAAAATATAAGACGTAAGATACATGTCTGGCGTAATTGTAAACATTTGCATATCATTCGTAGTGAGATTTTCTTCTTCTGTTAAATGTATCGGATATTCATTGAACGTTGGTTCGTAATTCGTTGTTGCACTCAATGTTCTAACCGCTTGATCAAAAGTATCATCGTCAGCATCCCACTCTGGAACATAGATGAATTCTTCCTCGGATGAACATGAACAACAAACACATTGTTTAATTGTTCTACAGCAAATTATACATAGGAACATCGAACATAAACAACATCCTAATAATTTAAACGAACGAAACGGTTTACATACACGTTGTGCTTTCCACCATAAATTTTTATACTGTTTATAACTAGAACGAGTTTGTTCTGTAGCCTTCATAACTGAATTGACTAATGCTTTGGTGAGAATATAAGAATAACGAACATTAATTGGTAAATAATAACTAATAAGATTTTCTACAGCACTGAAGAATTTTAGTCTTCTAGTGCTAGTGGTAGCAGCGAGCATATCTGAGGAACCAAAAACATTCGAAAAATTTCTGGAGTCGTTTATTTCATGGTAGTAATAAAAAAATCTTCGCGCCAAAACGAAAGTGAGCAAAAGTTAGAAGTTTAGCATGAATAAAATACACATTGACTTTTTCAAAATTTTTGTTTTAGATTCGTCATATCAATGACCAGTTTTCTGTTAGCCACTGTTGTCGAAGGTAGATATGCAACAGTTATGGTTAACTGTAAAACTGTAAAATTATTACACTGATACAGTAAAAAAATGAAAATTTTCAGTATCTGCGCGTGTTTTGAACTGTATCTGTTGCTGGCACCCATCCATTCTGATTTAGAACATTCTAAATGATACAAATTCGTTTGGTTATATGCAAACAAGCCTTTAGACCAGAGATGAGAGCACCATCTGAAATGTCAATGAAGGTAAAACAATTAAAAAGCTCCTCAAATAATGATATTTTCCAAAAAGTTTCTTGATGTCCGAAATCATTTCCCCCTATTACCAAGCTCCGACGTCCCCAATGGATCATCTCAATGATAAACGTAGAAAAACATTTCCACTTGTTTCAAAACTTGAATGAACAACGAGTGTCGCATGACAATAGACATCAAAAGTGTTTACTTCACCTAAACGTTATAAAAAAAAATGAATAAAAAGAAATTTGAAAGAAAAAACTGTGTACCTGGTAGCTGCTGTGGATTTGCCTCGTTTAATTGAGACCAATAATCTTTTAACATTGATAATAAATCTGTATCAGCTGTTTTTGGCCAAAAGTTTTTTAATCTAATTACCGGTACGATATCTAACGAGATATTTAAAAGTTTATAAATTGACCCATACCAATTTAATTTAATTGTTATTGCTGTTTTTGGTGTATGATCAGCATATGTTGATACAAAACATGTTTCACATTCTAAATTATGACAATTATTACTATTATTTTCATTAAAACGATAGATAGCTATTGTTATTAATTGCGTAAATCGTGCATAAATGTACCATGGCATTAATGTGAGACCATATTGATCGGTAAACATGAATTCATTTAAATTTGAATTTAAATCTGAACTACAAACAAGTCGAGCAAAACATTTTGGAGGTTTTATTTGAAATTGTCTTTGATCATCATCGAAGCTAATAACATTTGTCAAAATATTTTCAAATTTAGTTAAATTACACATATAATCAAATTCATTTGGATAACCGGCTTTTGTTTTTTCCATCATACTTCCCGACAGTTAGTGTACAAATTCAAATCGTTTATCTAAAACCATGATAACTTCATTAATAAATGTCATAAACGAATGAATAGCATTTCGAATCTGTTCAACTTCATCAATAGATGGTAAACAACCAATTTCGGGTGAATTTAATACTTTAGCTACAAATCGTAGCCGATCATGTTGTTGCTGTTGTTGTTGATCATTGTCATCATTTGATAATATGGGATATTTGTCCATTAAGCAATATTGTTCAAATTTTTTATCCGATCTTGTTAATTCTTCATTTTGCATTGTAGTGCATTGTTGTTGTTCAAATAATTCAATCATATCTTTATAACCGAAAAATTTTGCTAATAAATATGGTGATATACCATTATTATTTTTTTCATATGGATCAATACCTTTATCAATTAAATATGCACTAATACCATAACTACGTATGGAATACTGAAGTATATTGGATAAAGTTCGGTCTAATTTTTTATGAATATTGGCATCCTTATTAATAAGAAAATTCAATAAATCAATTGAGTTAAATAATTTTTTTTTCCTTGTCAGCAATATATGCGATATATTACAATTATAAACGTTTGTTGTATTTATATTGGCACTACCTTTTTCGATCATAAATTTAATAGCTGATGATTCAAAATACTTTGCTGCATTTAATAAGGAATCGTTCGAATACTATTTGACCAAACAAAGGATTCAGAGGTGGGAGTACAGACCATCATATACGAGTGATCAGTTAATGCTTTCAATCGATTGACTTCTGATAGAAATGGACTGAGTTTCGTATTTCGTGGGCAGATCTTCTGTTGTTCATTCGTTATGCTTAGTTAATTTCAATTAAGCGCCTCCAGCATAGTCAGCAAACATTTAATATCGAAAATAAGTGTTGTGTATATACCTAAAAATTATATCGAGCCTGAAAAGTGGTTCTGCTAGAACAATCAATGGATTCTGTAGAGCTTTTTTGATCATTTTTGTACAATCCGAACGTACGACTTTGAGTTATTTATTCATAAACCGATCAGAGCGTGTCGAAATGAAAAAAGCGAGATAAAAGCCGTTATAATTCTAATCACAACTGCAATATCATTATTACTAATGAAAACTGGAACAAGTGGGAGCGAGTAAAGAGTCACTTCAAAGCTTGGATCGACCATTCAGGAGCGCAAATAGCGATATCATATTGCTGTAGGATGCGTCAGAGTTGTGTGCTACATAGAAAAAAACTTTTTTCACTATTTTGTCAGAAAATCCTAATAGTTTTGTCAGGCTTATAAGATAATCCATATTTGCTCTTCTGAGGATCCGGTCTAAAATTCAGATCATCTATTTGAAATAATTAAATTAAAAAGTCTGTTTTGACTGGTGGGAAACGTAATGTATTGTTTTGACGAATAAAATATTCTAAAATGAGTGTAGATCCCTAACAGCAGGGAAAAGCGAGTTTTTGCGCTGTTCGTTCGAACCGCGGGTGTACTAGGCATTCGGAAAAGCCGTCAATCCACTTCTGCAGGCAAAAGTCGACTATGTTTCATGGGTAGGACTGTAACAGTTCCCGTTGCGTTGATTTAATGCTAACTGAAAATACAGTTACCGTTGTTTTAACGGTAACTGTATTTTCAGTTAGCGTTGTTGATAACGGCCGAAGAAGTAACGAAAACTTCTACAGTCCTGTTAATGGGTGCGTGTAGAAGCAAATATTCCCTTCAAAATAACATTATTCCACATCTCCGAAAATGTTTAGGGTTACGTGAGTTTAAACAAAACAACTTCCGATTCGTTCTGGAACAAAATGTCAAAGGTGTTACACGAATTCAGACGGATTATTTGTAGTGTAGTCTTTAATGCAAATAGTGGTCAAGAATCTCTTGGTACAAGACAGATATATCAGCAAGATTCAGTGATCGTGAACTGATTTGTACGCCTGCTTACGAAATGGATTGTCCAAGACTGAATAACACGTTAGTTGCATCTAAAAGATGTATAGAAAAAAAGTTCAAGACTGATCATCGTGAAACGATTGAGTTATAAACAAGATCGTAAAAATCAAACAAACGATACGTTACGCATATAAATAACTCGTTTATTTGTGAAAAATAAAAGATAAAAATTGTTCCACCATGTGTATGGGAGAGATAAGAGAAAGTAAATGACCAAAGTATGACTATAACGAAGGGAAAGCCCTAAATCACCTAAAAAAAAGATATTAGTTGTATCTGAACAACTTCTAATGGACTATTACCAAATACATTTGATATGTTTATGTCTGCTTTATATGCTAAAAAACACCATAAATAACGAATAATAATATCACGATAAATCAACTCTTCACATTGTTCGATGTAATATGGACGAAAATATTTTGATACAAGAATAAAACTATTTAATGGTGTATTGTGTTGTAAATCAAGTTCATTTATATTTGCACCATAATCACATAATAACTGAATTATATTAACGAAACTTTTTATATCCATAAGACCTGTATAATGTAATGGTGTACGTTGATTTTTATCTTTTTGATTTGGATTCCAGCCATGTTCAAGTAAATATCTAACAACAATATCATTTGCTCGATAAACAGCTTGATGTAAATCTGTTTCACCATTTGGTAAATAAGCAATATTTGATTGATAATTATTATTAATAAATTTTTCTAGTAAATATAATTGATTTCTATTTATTAAATTAATCGGTCTTAAATTTGACTTTGATTGACAATACATATTAATATTATATGAAAATAATAAATCTAATAAATTTAGCTTTATCAACTGAGTTTCACTGTTATCATCATTGGATGTTGGATCATATGTTGTCCGAGTATATGTATCAAGAAATAAATGATGTAAAACAGAATAACCAAGGTAATCAACTGAATCAATGTTTGCACCATTTTCAAGTAAATATTTTGTTACTCAAATATTCTGTTGACGTACCGATATGTGTAATGGTGTTTCATGTCGAATATTTTTACAGTTAATTAGTTGATTATCAGAATTATTAATTAATTTTTTTACTAAATTAAAATTATCATTTCTAATGGCATTATACAATTTGAAAATTTGTTTTTCTGTCATGTTTTTTCATTCTTTTAACAAGTCTCAATGCTCTTTCTCCATAAAGGAGAAGTGAAAGAAAAAAAAGCTCTTGTCTTCAAACAAACAGTAACGTTGCACGTACACACAAACTGATTTATTCTAAAATAATAAATTACATTTACTCTCGTTAAAACAGAAGCATGTAAAGATAGAATTCTTTTCAAATAAACATAGAAAAGGAAATGCTGCGCTACAATAAATAAAAAAATGAAATATTATGGTATTTTTTTGCAAAACTATAAAGACTTCGACGATGCTTTGTTCCTCTAAAAGTGTATCGGCGTGACTAGCTAACGGGCACCCTTCGAATCAGAAGGTTCGAATTTTTATTTTCACTCGAACAAAGCTTATACGCTGAGTACAAATCTGGACTCAAAAGCAAATTAAGGCCCCCCTGCCTCGGATCAGAAACCTATCTCAGCTCAGGTAGGCCTGACCTGAACCAAACTTTTATGGAATGTTGATCAAGTCAAAGTGTGGAAATGAAATTTCTTTTTTGGCGTCACTCTCAACTGTTCGTGAGAGGGCGCCACAACAAGGGTCAAGAATAGGCGTATGCCATTCACAAGAATTCTCACTCCAAGTAAATCATAGAGAACTCGGGCTGATTTTGTTTTGTGGTAAATACCTATGCCTAGTAGTTGACAGAGCCCGATTTTTAAATTTCTGATTTGCTAATTTCCGGTGCTTAACAGAACTTCAATGTTCGAAAAACCCATGAATACAAAAATCTAGCATAATTTAAAAATCGGACTCTGTCAGCTCCTAGCCAGAGGTGTTATCTACAAATCAAAAAAAGAAAAACTTTCTCCGATGTATCGTTACCGAGAATTCATGTGCGTGACGAAAGCCCGGAAGTTAAAAAACAGTCTTAGGTAAAATCTAAAATAAGTTTTGATTTTGTTAAATGCGTTTTACTTAAAAACTGTTTGAGCGTTAAATAATTTGTCGATATTTTGCTACAGGTTATCGGTCATGGCGGATCTAATGAACATGTGCGTGGTCATGTGCGGCACATGCGTGCGCTTATGCAATAAAAGTGAAAAATAAAAGTTAAATTTTCAGAGTAAAAAATTAAATTTCCTGACCAAGATAATTTTTTCAAAAGTTCTACAAATTATACCATCGGATAGAAAATCGAATTCTCTACAAAATGCCTCATTTTTTTTAAATGTTTGGATGCCAAAACGTTTTTTTTATTTCCTAAAAAGAGTTTTGGTGTTTATTTTGTGAATAATTTTCTACCCATCTAATCTAATTCTGAAACTTTATTTTTGGCTCCATCAAACCCTCGTATCAAACTCTACAACTTTTGCGTAGAAAGTTTTCGTACAGCTACCTTAGTTTCGTAGAAAAATGCAAAACTTTGTTGTCCTATCGATGACAACTTCTATTTTCTGGAATTCCGAGACCGACGGTCTTTTTTTTATAACTTCTAAAGGGCGCGTCCAAGTGTAACGAAATTTTCACCGATGATACAACGTGTGACTATCACCTTATGGTAAAAATTTCAAGTACCTACAGTCTTATCAGGGCGAGAACGATCTTAATAAAGTCCAAAAAAATGAAATTTCGGGACTTTTGTTCAAGCTAGTATGTTTTTTTTCTATAAAAGAAAAGAGAAGGCAAAAAACGTTGTTGTCTTCGAGCGTCACGATAGTTTCTCGATCGAAATATAATATAAAAACGGTTAAGACTCAGGCCTATTCGGGTTTCGGTCTAGACTCGTTTTTATCAATTATATGAAGAGGTGAGAAAGATGAAAGACAAGTGGTTTTTATTTAAAAACACAGCTTAGTCTCAACAGTGATTTGAAGGCTTTTTATTCAAAAAACGCTTCAAGGAAAAATATTTGAGGTCGAAGGTTCTTTATTCAAAAACGCTTTGACGCTCTTTTGGCTTAAAAGCTTGTTTGTATAAATGCTTGTTCAAGTGCAGATAAATTAATGTTGGACGCGTTTCGCTTTATTTTAAAAATAAAGCTCATCAGCAATAAAAATCTGAAGAACAAAAAACAAAAATATATAACAAACAAGCACAAGATAAAAAAAGGAAAAGAAAAAAAGAAAAGAAACCCCTGAAAAGGGGAAGATCCAACTGAACGGGCTTTATGCCGAAAGCAATAAAAAATATGCACACCCACGGATTTTTCGTGGTGGCATGTGGTGTTGACTAGGCTACGCGGACTGCCACTGTTTCCGCTGGAGGTATGTGGCTAACAGCCGTATCGCCACTGTTTGTAATGGTGACATCGTCGTCGCCGTCGTGGACTGTCATACTTGTCATTTTTACGACAAGTTGTTGCGGTTGCCGATCCGGGAATACTTCGTCGTCGGAAGACGCTTTGTCTGTGTCATTTCCTTGTCGAGAGATTGAAGCGACGACGATTTTGGTAATTATTGGTTCGTCTGCGTTCCCATCACCTTCACTCTCTATCCTGCGTTGTTCGCGAGGGTGGAGGCCTGTTGACTGTGATTGTTGTTGGTACGCGGCCGCCTGCGCTCTTTCTCGCCTTAAACGACGTTTTGTCGAATCACTTAACTGCGGTGTCGACAATTTGGGGATGGTGATGGATGACTGGGTGGTGGTTGGTTTCGTTAGAGGGGCAGTTGTCTGTTTGACCCCTGCACACGCATCTACTTTCTCTGACAAGAGAAATTTCCCCACCTTGATTGCCGGTGGTGTTATCGATGCCGGTCTTTTGTCACCAAGGGTTTCCTGATAACCCGCTGGCCTAGTATGCCGATGGTACGTGTAGTGGTGTTGGTTGCCTTCATTGGCAATACGGTAACCTTGGCTGACCAATCGATCTGGGGGTCTCATTCCTTCAAGTCGTGGGCGACTCGAGCTGGTAAAAGCTCGGTTACCACATCGCCTATCATCCGGAAGAGGACCCTGATAAGGATTGTGCCGGCTTTGTCTACCCCTGTTCCGATATGCGCCACCTGTATTTCGGGCAGCCTGTTCAGCGAGCCCAAGAATATTCGGCGGAACACCATCGGAATAGAAGCTGGGCGAAACTGGCATCCAAATGCCCCGTTTTCGTCCTTGATCCAAGTATAACCGGAATTTTCCAGCAGTGGTGTTTCGCTCGAATTCTGTTGAGACTAAGCTGTGTTTTTAAATAAAAACCACTTGTCTTTCATCTTTCTCACCTCTTCATATAATTGATAAAAACGAGTCTAGACCGAAACCCGAATAGGCCTGAGTCTTAACCGTTTTTATATTATATTTCGATCGAGTGAATTTTTCGGTTATCTATACTGTAAGAGCGTCGTAATAACAATAACAATTTCACTCTCTCCTTCTTAACAAAACTTCACTCTCTCTTTAAAAACATCTTTATTTGCATGCCAAAAATTTTACTCTTCCGTTGAAAACATCTCTCCATCTTCAGAAAATTCTTTCATAAATTTCACTCTCCCTTGGAATAGTATCACCGTTTTCTTTTCTACTCGTCTGTCTCTGTCCACTGTGCTTGTTCACAAAATGTATATAAATGCGTTTATTCCAATAGCGGTCACCATTTCACGAGCATTTACTGATGAAGGTAATTCGAAACGCGTTTAAATTCTCGTGTACATGCTCCATTTTCTGTTTTTAAAATTTCTCCGTCGTATTCATAAGATACATTTATTTTTCTATTAAAAAAAACAAAAATTACAAAGAAAAGCTTTGTTATTATTTACTTCAGCAACCTTGTTCCATACTCATTATCATTTATTTTTAATGCTTCTAGAGCGCAATGTTTAGGCAATTTTCACGCCCTTCGTGTCATTCGTAAATCGACTGCAGTTGCATGAAAACGCATTATAGACAGCCGGGGAATGTCTTATTTTTCTCAGAATTTCTTGCTCTATCAGGCCATATGGTTTGCAAAATTTTCTAGCCAAAAACTAAGGACTTGGTTTTACAGCGGTCAGGTTTTCCGGAAACCCTATTATCAAGTTTTCACATGAAACGACGATATGCACCTCACCTGATAGAAAAATCTTCAGGCTATTCAAAACAGTATTTACATTGTTTCCAGCTTTTACTAAAAAGTCAAAAAGATAGGAGTTCTTGTGATTATGATCCATTGTACTGTATAGATAACACCCGAACGCTTCCTTCGATATCTTTAATGACTGGCTCTATCTGTCTCGATATTCTGATCAGCTCAGTTTGTAGAGAATTTCAAGTGCTATCCAATGGTAGGCTTTTGAAAAATACATCATTTTTCGTTTCGGCAGAAAAATCACAAAAGGAGTGTTTAAAGCACTAAGCCTTTTAAAATCACTATATTGGCCAAGTATTTCCACTATTGACTTATGTGGACATATTTTTGAAAGACTTATTTATAGTTAATTTTGCAGCCCGTGAAATTCTCTATCAAATGCTACATAAGGTGGAGTGGTTAATAGGAAAATAGGTGGATATCATAAACATGAACGCGGTTGACCTAGTCGTTGTCTGATATGCTACCGAGTATTTCGAACCTTAGACTACCCAGTTACAGCTTCCTAAGATTCTTATATATCGTTCTACAGCCTGTGAAATTCTCGAATGGTATATACAACACATTCGCAAGCAACACATAAATACGATACATTTTAGTTTAGTGTGTTTTGCATCATATGTAAAAACAATGGAAAGGTGTTCAAGATTCTTCTAAGATCTTGTTTCAAATCGTGCGCAAATCTTTGACATTTCGTGACTACACGTTGCTTCCCGCAGTTTAGAGTTTCTTGAGTAATTCCTACGTAAAAAGTAATGCTAAACTGATCAAGATCTTGATAAATTCTTGTCTAGATCTTGCAATTCAGTGGCTACATCCATTTTTCATGATTAACCCATTTTCTCAGAAAAAATAGCGTATCTGTACAGGATCCTAATTGGATCAATGAAGGATCTAGAACGGCAACATTAAAAGTTTTACATAGAGTAAATCAGCCTTTTATTTGTGACTAATATCAATTGAATACATTATTTTTATTATATTTGCCCAGATTAAATAATATATACACTTATTTAGAATGGAAAAACTAGCAGTCACTCATTTCCACCAGACAATTTTTTCGTCCCGTCACTGAATCACATTATTTATAGGACAGAAAATTCTTATACTCCTTTTCTTTTGTTTTGGTGCGTCACACGATAAATGAATATACGAACTCTCTCCAACGGAAAACATCAGTCAGTGACCGAACAAAAAACGTGACTAGCGAGTGAATGCCATTTTTTCCATCTCTAATGTGTCTGTTTTTGTTGTCTTTCAAAACATTTCCTGAACAGTTTTCCATGACGATCTTGATGATATTTGGTCCCACCATTTTTTGATATTGGGTCTTGATTCGATTAAATTACCTTCGCCTAGTTTGATAAGCAATGAGGCATAAAAATGGAATAAGTCGGCCAAGATGTATGTCTATCATATTTCAAAGTAGAAAATCAGTGGATTTGAACAAGAGAATTTTCCCTTACTCGCCGAACCACCCGTCACTTGCATCGTTAAATAAATAAGTGGTATCCTGAAATTTTGACTAGAATTTATATACGTTTTGTAAAAAGTGCCTCATCGTGCCAGTTTTCTCGCTCAAACACATACACCCACACTGAGAGCAAATTTAATTGAATCATTACTAAATAAACTCAACAATAAGAGAGAAGAAAATGCCTTGTCCTGACAGTGTCATTATCTGAGTATTTCTAGTTAAAGAAAAATTAGATAAAACAGACTTATGATCGCTGTTATTAATGAGCCAAAAATGTTTGATAAGATGCTGTCATTTACATGTCTTCTCGTCGTGTTCTGTGCGTAAAAACGCAATATGAACTTTTTTCATACTGACATGAGAGAAAAAGATAGCTCCGTGTTCATAATTCTCAACAGAAGAATATTTGGAAATTGTATGTTGTGCAATGCTTTGGTCTATTCGACTACAGTACATGTGTCTGCATCATTCAAACCCTGTCTTTCTTATTTCACTATTGAATGATTTTTACATAAATGAATGGGAAGTTAACTGAATTGTCAGATGATCTTGGTGTTTGTGAATTTTTAAATAAGAAGAAAAGCTGATCAGATTTCTTTTACGAAGAATTTTGAAATAATTAATGCTGGCTTATACCTTTAGCTAAACTTAAAGTAATTCTCCAATTATTGTGATCGGAAAAATATTCTCAAACTCGAATTGATGATGCACACGATGAAAAAATCTATCAAACGAAGATTTCTTTTGAAGAAAAATCTTGAGTTACATCACATTTAAAGCCTTAACAAATCATCTGATGAGTTGTTGATAGACGTTTTGAAAGTGCATTAATAAATAGACAAAGACAGGAACGCTACAGAATTAACATTTATCGGTTTCGTAAATAAAATGTTTTGTTTCGGACGAATTCAAGCAAAGATTAATCGGTTACAATTGCATCGTATAAAATATAATTAATGTTGATGGATCTTCTAAAAGATTATTGACTGATTAATCACATCGTCATTTAACTGTTTCAAAAATTTATTCTTTTAAAAAGATATCCATTTCAATTCGGTTTGAATTTCGAAAAACTCGAACTGAGCCCATATCTGATACTTATGAGAGCAGGACTACCACTCAAACTGGTTTTCGACAAACATTTTTCGCCGTATCCCCCTCCGGTGGTGGAGTAAAAAATGTTTTTGTCGTTTTTGAAGAAGTTATATATGTCACTTAATAGAGGGGTCGTGTTCTGATTTATACTAGATAGAAAGTCACATTATATAATGGAGCTTTTATATTAAATTCTAAACGACTTCGGAGCTATTTTGTATGAAAAAAGGAGTCATTATAGAGCTCATATTCTCATAAGGTTTTGACCGGCATTTTAGCCGAAACCGCGGTTTTAGCGAAGATGTTTTGAATGACAGAAACCACCTAAAGAACTAAATTTTTTTGTCGAAGCAAGTACTCTGTGAGATCTCTCTTTGATAAAAATTTCATCTCACTAGTTTGATCCGTTCATGAGATAGTCTATGCACAAAATTCCGAAAAATGACAATTTAGTCTAGCACTTTGTGGTATCACTCAACTCATCAGTAGTTTATTCTTTTTTTTTTGCTTATGAGAAGTACCTCGACCGGAGATGTATACGTGCTAAAAGTTTCAAACCAAACCGATGTACCTTTGATGAGATATCAATGTCACAAAAAACGCGATTTTTTGGCGAGGATGACCGACAGCTCGTAAGTTCATCGATTGAGCAGCTTCTGTGGGAGTCGGTCTTGGCTTATACGGAATAGCTCTTAATTAAAAATAAACATTTCGCTGTTTTGCCTTTTGCTTATTTTATTTTCGCTGTTTTATATTTGCTGAAAACTTTTCGGTGGAAAGCCTTTGCTGATTTACAACGAAACCGTCACAAACCTATCCTGAAGTATTTACCTAAATTGGTCGTTTCCAAATTTGAATCATAACTCGATGATTTGGTCTGATTTATTAGTGTTAAGAAACGCATACATTGGGATGCAATACATGATTGTTCTTTATGCAGTTTGCTGATATTGTCGTTGCAGTGTCGAATATTGAGCGACGGCTCTAAGCCACAAACACAGTTCATAGCCTGCTATAGAACACTTCCGAATACGTTCTGGCTCACACTCGTGAAGAGCCAGAATCGATATGAGACGTTTCAGTTGTTCTTCAGTGACTTGATCCTTCTCATAGTTTAGTAGCATCATCAAAAGTTAATAGGCATTGCTGCCCAACCATTTTCTGATATCGTTCCAATCGAACATCCGTTTTGATGGAGCCAACAATACAGCTAATCCTTCGAATATTTGAATAACACCAGTAGGCGGTTGGCGAAACACCATGAGTTCCGTGATCGCACGCTTAGTAAGTCTCGTTAAGTTCGCCTCAACTCCTAAATAAAAACGATCTGTTTAGTTGATAAGAGGAGGACTTGAAATAATCAACCTGGTGCAGCTGAGAGCGTCATCGTATTATCTATTGTTGGTAATGCCATTCCCTGAGGGTTGGATGAAAGAACAGAAGTTTGAAGCGCGACTT